ACTCGTTACTTGTCTAACTCTTCCATTGGTCATTTCCATTATATTGACCCACAAAAAATTGTTGAAATTTAAGGTTTTCTCTTGGTTTTCCTAACTCCTCCGTCATATAGGTTCTCAAGAGGAATGCCGACGTTGTTGTTGCTCAAGATGGCACGGGAGACTACAGAACTGTGACGGAGGCAGTTGCGGCGGCGCCGGAATATAGCAAGACTCGATACGTTATACACGTGAAGAAAGGCCGCTACAAGGAGACCATATTCTCATTGGTGGTTCAAAACCAAACATAACTCTCGTAGGCGATGGTAGAGACGTCACCATTCTCACCGGAAGTTTGAGCAACGCAACCGGATTCTCCATCGTGAAATCCGCCACCCTTGGTAAATGTAATTCTTATCTTTTAGCTTATTATTATGTACTAAAGTTTTTGTTCATAAACCGTAGTGAAAAAACAAAAACAAAAACAAAGGGCTTCGATGACGTCTTCTGTGCTGTAGTCTTTGAAAGTGAAGAAGGCTGGTGTTCGGATCTCTCTATCTAATTATATTGCTGTTGTCGTTGACAATGATTCGAGTTTCCGTCGCTGATGTTTGTAGTTCGAAACGAAAATCAATAACGTTTGCCGATGACAAAAATTGGATTTTATTATATAGATTTGTCAGGTTAATATGAAACTTAACCAATAACGTAGCCAAATATTAAGTTAAATGAATTGTTACCATCAATCTATACATCATATAATTCCTATGGAGCATTGTCAAGTGAACTAGAAACCATGTTCTCCATAATCGGTTTCTTTACAACTGATTTTACTATGAGCTTACCACCATGATTCTTGCCTTTCTGTCTTAGCAAAGAATCCCTTCTCAGAGCCTTTGAGATCTCCACCCAAAGCGTGTCTCATATTCTGTCCAGACCTTGTCTCATCACTCAAGGTCACACATGTTGTTCCCACACACAAGAATTAACAAGTAAACCATTGTGAGGTTTACTCATATTGCTTCTTTGTATCAATACACGTGTGTCATGGACCAAACGAAACAAGAGAAACCTGAGAACATAAATCCATCTCCTTGGATTAGTGCTGACACAAGAAATCCTTTTGATGACCTTTACTCTGATCATAACCTGAAGACTAATACGCGTCTTTTGACTCTTGTCTTCTTACCACCAGGCACCAGAACATACTAATGAACCTCTCAACTCTTTGTCGAGGTCTAGATTCTGCTTAACATTTTCTAACCATACGTTTCCCTTTCTCTGATCACGGCTATCTTTCAAAATTCTCCATATCACAACAACATCACCAAAAGAGAATGTTACAAGACTGAAATGACCAGGTTCGGCTACTAGTTAGCAAACGTCACAACTGGATAAATTGTTCTATCACCATCTTTAATAACATGTAGCCATATAACCACCATGAGTAATCGCTGCATAAGACGTCCCCATTAGATAACATGGATTTGATAAGTTCCAGCAAGCGGCCAAGTTGTTTATCAACATTCAGATCAAGGAAATTGCCTGGATTAAGCAGAATGTACAACTTCCTTTGACTGTAAAAATTCAATCTTCTGAATCAACATTGATTGTGTGAACAACAGCCTCTGATTTCGGAAGTTATCATGTTAGATTTCCATAATCTGTCTTCGCCCATTGAGCTTGTACATACAATAATCCACCAAATTCGATTATTCCAACATGAAAGGAGTTTCATCACCTCTTCTGTCAAAGGTCTTGAACTCCTTAGGGATCACAATTCACCATTTGCATATGAGAATATATATAGAACCCGATTCTTCTCAGTTGTTGCCCGAGAGGAGAATCAAGCTTTGACATGATCTTCTTCCCGATTTAGATCAACAGAAACCCTGCAAATCTCTGGGTCAGATGAATCTGTTTCAATTGATTCGGGAGTCAAATCTGATTTCTTCATGAGAGGACGATCCGGGAGTTGAATCTGCTTCCAGAAGTGCAGTCATTCTTCTCCTCATGAATCCCCAGCAGTCGGATCAAGCTTCTCGAGCAACATATCAAATCCTCGTCATGTGTACAAGAACAAGTCGGTTTTTGACTTTTTCTTTCAGACCCTCTTGTCCAAACAGAAGCTTTCATATACTGCCAAGTTCCAAGTCTTTTAAGATTCTTGTCGTCGTCGTGTTTATGTAATTAAGTATATCTTAATTATCATAAACATCTAACAGCATCTCCATTGGAGAAATTTAGGGGTATATTAGGAGGTTCTTAAAATATAAAATTATTAAAACACAAACTCT